TTTTTTTTTTTTTTTGAGAGGGGAAGTCAGCCAGTCAGGAAGATCGACGATCCAACGTACCTGAGCAACATGCTGATCTCTCGCAATACGACTGGAAAAGATCAAGTTGCATCGCGAGCATGAGGCTTCTCGTGCCCTTGGCATGCTTGAGTGGTGCAGGGTGCGTTGGAGTAGCTCGTGGCCCTTGTGAGAGAACGAAGCGGTCAAAGATTTTTGTGATTGATTTAATGCAAGCAAGAAAGAAAGTAAAACTTCATCACACTTATTTGCTGCTTGCAAGCCATCTGACAACTGTGGAGTGAGGACATGAGAGTTGTTGTCATGCAAATGGGAATCGGCATGTAGTTTTGGCTGGCATGACGAATAAAGGTAATACACATCCAAAGTATAACAAGTTGAATAGCGTTAGGCCCGCCCCGTGCACTCCACCACTCGATCACCCCCAATCTTCTGCGGCCTCCAACACCGGTAGCAAACACCCGCCCCCAAGGTCACTTGGCAATTGCTACTACCATGACCGCGGCAGTGGCATCGAAAGCAGCGCCCTTTCATGACCGGGCAGCTAGAAGGCTGGTGGTGAGCAACCAAGCGGTCTCTGCTGCAGCTGCAGGCCCAGCAGTAGGTGCTCATCCATAGCAGAGCCGTGTTAAAGTCGTCTGACTGAATTGGCGCCGATGGTACCATCAACTGCGCTCGTTTGGCCCGCGTCTGGCCCTCGTGTGATACTGGCGCCCCATGTGCTTCACGGCTTGGATGGCGAGCTGTGATGGTCGGTTGCATCATGGAGCAGACGGTGCAAGCCGGCGCTCCTGCGGCCGCACAAATGTGGCCCTCACCATCCAGCAGCCAACCAAGCTCAAAGGTCAGGCAGCGCTTCATGCTTGCAAATGGCTGCAGGTCTTCCGAAACCGCTGTGCCTCGTGGAATCCATAGCGTGGCCTCGCCACCCCGTCGGTCGCGGCCAGCCCGGCCAAAGGCCTGCGACAAGGTGTAGCCGTTGTAGCCGCTGCCAAACCAGATCACCTTCCGGACGTTGGGCATGTCCAAGCCCGCGCCCAAGCAGCTTGTGGCCACCAAGACCAGACTCTGCGTGCCGCTCCTCCACTGCTCAAGAGCGGCTCGCGTGTCTTCGGCTGACATGTCAGCATCCACGGCCAGCGACTGCTCGTGACCCAACGTGCGTGCCAACTGAGTCGACAATGCCTCAACCTGCTTCTTCGTGTCACAAAAAATCAACATGCGATCCACGCGGCCCTCTTGCTCCAACAGGTCGTAGTGGCGTTCCACAAACATCTCAAATGCCTTTGTTGTTCCTTGTTGCACCGCTAGCCGAAGATCGGTTCGCATGGTTGGCATACGAAAGGTCTGGTACGAAGCGTCCTCCGTGCAATCCAGCTGTTGGAGCAGAGCCCGCTCATCTTTGGGGCAAAGCGTGCCAGTCAGGCCCACACACTTGACAGATGGGTCTTGGCGAAGATGGTCCAGCCGGCCTGGGCAGCGAACAAGGCTGTCTCGATAGCTAGTGTCCACGAGCATTGTGTGAACCTCGTCCATCACCAGCATGGCCAGACGCTTCTGCTGCACGAGAGTTTGCACCCACCTCATCCCATAGCCAACCAAAAAGTCGACCGTCATGACAATCACTTGAACGTTGACTTGCATGTCGCGGCCATCATTCTTAGCCCACTGCGATACAATGTCTGCCTGCTCGAAGCGGCGGCACAAGTCTCTGGCAAGCTCACGAAGCGGGACTACCCACACCACGACCTTGCGTGGCTGGAGGTGAGCGAGTGTACACAGCGTCTTGCCCATGCCCGTCGGGGCCACGGCCAGCAGCCAGCCATCCTGGGCTTCGTGCCGAGTCACAGCCTGTGCCAATCGATACTGATCCCAGTCGCGAAATGTTGTCTTCCACGCTTGCCGCACACATTGAGCAAGCCAAAGCTGATCCTCATACTCTTCCTGCTGCGTTTGGTCATTGTGCTGGCTTGGCTCTTGCTGCAAGGCCGTCGACGCAGCCTCTTTCACGGCTCGCGGCACGGCAACTGGCATGGACGATTCGGCTGCCTCGGCTTCGTCTAAATCCAACCCGGCAATGATATCGTCAATGTCATCCTCAGCATCAAGGCAGGCTTCAACCTCGAGATCTGTTTGCGTGCCCACGGTCGCTTGCACCTGTGTGCTGGCGTTCCTGACCCGAGACGACTGGATGACCACCTGTTTATGAACCACTTGTTGCACGCAGGTCTGTCCATCTACGGCCTCAGCTTGGATCTGATTCTCTACATCTACCAGCTTCATGAGCTTGTGCCATTCTTCAGACACAAACTGATGGCCGTACTGTGCTTCACTGGACACAAACTTGTGATCGAGCTGCGTGCGGCCATAGACGTTGCGTGCCGTTCTGCCTGCATGCTGGCTTTGAGAGTGTGCCACATTCAACGCCCCCAATGAAGGCTCGGGCGTATGATGCAACACCAGTGTACGCAGCCAAGCCACACTCATGTGCCGCCATGCGCTGACAGTGATGCTGGTTCCAAGAAACCGCTTGGTCACGGCCTGGATGGTTCGGTAGACTTGGCCTGGCCGAAGCTGCTTTTCGAGCTGCATTGGCGCAATGTTGAACAGCAGCTCATACGTGCCCTCCTGTGCGACACGCTTGGCCGCTCGTAGATCGTCGTGCTGGTCGTCAACAGAGCCAACAGTGTCTGGCTCGATTGAATCTTCGACCTCCATCGC